CGGAGGGGGCACAGGGCTGTGGACTCTGGAAGTCTCCGGCGATGGGGGTGGCAGTGGCTCATGGGGAGAGAGGATCCGGACCCGGACTGCTGACGATCCCCTGCTCCTTTCTGCAAGAGCAGGGTTTGCCGGGTGCCCTTGGCCCAGTGCGGAGTGCGCTGGCTGTCGGTCCCCACCCCAGAGGTGGCTGCATGCATGGGCCCAAAGCAACCCGGGTGCTCTCAGGAGGAAGCCTTTTCAAGACGGGTAAAAGATGTTCATGGGCCTCAACAAAAGCCCCATCTCCGAGCATCTCGTGGCTCAGGGGACGTGAGATTCGGGGGTTCCCCCGGCTTTGCGGCGCCCAGTGCGGAGTGCGCTGGCTGTCGGTCCCCACCCCAGAGGTGGCTGCATGCATGGGCCCAAAGCAACCCGGGTGCTCTCAGGAGGAAGCCTTTTCAAGACGGGTAAAAGATGTTCATGGGCCTCAACAAAAGCCCCATCTCCGAGCATCTCGTGGCTCAGGGGACGTGAGATTCGGGGGTTCCCCCGGCTTTGCGGCTTCTGCGATTGGCCCCAAGCTCTCTGGCCTGGAGCCCTCCGGGTCCGTCTCTGGGGCTGGATCCCGTCCGCCAGCTGCAGTTTAGTGTATTGTCAGTGTAAGACGGTTCCCACAAAGCGAAGGCGTCCGCGCCAGTGCTCCCTGTGAGCGGCGCGCCCCCAGGAGAGAGTCAAGTGCCGCCCTGCAGAATGGCAGAGCGCCCACAGCTGGCAGCGTGTGTGTCTATTGGTGGTGCGCATCTGCACCGGCCCTGGTGCACCGCACAAAATTTATTCCGCACATGGCTGGAGAAACAATTGGAGGGCACATTGGTCTGTAGCCGTTGCTTGCCAGCCTTCTGATTTCATCCGCCGGGGGGGGACCGTTCTCCAGGAGCCCTCTGCAGCCTTTTCCCACCCCGTGACTAACTCCATCTCCCCCTTTCCCCGCAGTGCAAGATGTCGGTGAACGGCCAGCGAGGAGAGTGCTGGTGCGTGAACCCCTTCACCGGGAAGGTGATCCAGGGGGCACCCACCGTCCGCGGAGACCCGGAGTGCCACCTCTTCTACACGCCGCAAGAGCAGGAGGATCGGGGCGCGCACGCCCTGCGCATGCAGTAGCCGGACGCGTTCCTGCTCCGTGGAGACAGCTCGGCCTGTCCCCAGTGCTGGATTTTACATGGGTTTCAGCGTGTCTATTTATACTCTGAAAGCAACTGGCTTTGTGCACTGCCCGGGGCCCTCGCTCTCTTGCCTCCAGCCCCGGGGGGCAGGACGGGGCTGGGCGTGCGGTGCCGGGGGGGCAGGGGCAGCTCTTGCTTTTCTTTCGGCTTTCCCGTCACCGAGAGCGAGAGCCGTGGCGGCTGTTGGCTCTGCCCCCCTCCGCAGTGTGCTTGGGATGAGCGTGCTTCCAGAGACACCCCCCCCCGCCAAGCGATAGCCTAGTGCAAGTAAATCGGGCCCCTGCCGGAGGCGGAGGGGAAAGCCAAGCCGCCCTGTGCAACGTAGAGTCCTGCGCTCCCTGGACGTCTCCAAAGAGCCCCGGTGATCGTGCTCAGAACGAGATGGCTGGAAATCTTTGCCCCCCGAGACCAAAGACTGTAAATAATGCAGGTCGCCTCCGCTGGACGCTCTCCGCCGGGCCCGGCTGCCGCGTGCCTGCCACGGGAGGGGGAATTCCCGCGGCCCCCGTCGGATCGCGCCAGGGCGCAGCTCAGCTGCTCCCTCCAGGGGCCACGGAGAGAGAGCGGAGCCGCCACCGCAGCGCCAGCCCCCTGCCCTGCGCGCTCACGTCTAGGCTGCTCCGCGGGGGGCTCGTTCTCAGCAGCAGGCCCTGAGTTACGACCCAACTCGTCAGGCGCCAGTCTGGGGCCGGGCCGGGCGACCTCGCCTCTGGTGGCCGGGAGCCTGACCGGTACGGGGGTAATCCAGGGCCTGACCCTGAGAAGGGCCGGCCACCTGTGGTTAAATTGCTGCTGTTGGATGTGTCCCTGCGGGCCCTACGTTTTTTAGTGGAAGGAGCAAATGCGGGGGGAGGGTTCTTGCAGATTTAGGGTAACAGTCCAGGGAGTGTGTCTCTCTCTTTCGAAATAGCAAAAACCCATCTAAAACCTGCACTCCCACACGGCTGCCAACGTCCCTCGGACGTGGCAGGGAG